TAAAGTTGAAATTTAACTGCACATTTTGTTTTTGTTTCTTTTTTATTTACTATTTCTTAAACATAGTTCTTTATTGTGGAAAGTATTACATATGTCCCCTCCTTCCCCCCCCCCCCCGTTAACTTCCCCCACCCCTACTCTGTACCCCCACCACCATAGTCTAGTTCTTGATTCAAATAGCACTTTATAATTATCTGTTATTTAGTGATTCTGTGTTCAATGCACTTTCTGTATATATGCTACATTTCACAATTAAAAAGTTAAAAATCTGAACCAAAATTAAAAACATGAGCCTGTGGAAATGGTTCCCAATTTTTATACTTTCCCAAAATATATACTTTAAAAACTAATTCTGATCATGAGCCAGCCAGGTGGGGGAACAGCTCTAAGGAGATTCTTCCTGATCTGACCCTGCAAATAACTCACCATCACCAACAACATCCCTCCTCTCACCTCTCATCTGGCTCTTTCCTACTGGCTGCCCTGGCGGGATGACAGCACCACATACCCCTGTGCACACACAGAGCAGAGCAGTGGTCAAAGAGGCTACGTGCTGGTTCTCAGGGACCTGTTTCCCTCGCCAGTCTCTGCCTCTCTGCTTTCTTGTCCCATTTACCAAACCAGATTTGGCCGAAGATGGACCATGACCTGGATATTATATTTGTCTGGTCAACCTGAATGCCTGAGAGGAGGTGTTTCAAGCTATAATGTGGAAGGTTCTGAGTGCCTAAAATATCTCAAGTCCATGCCCTAACCGGTTTGGCTCAGTGGATGGAGCATCAGCCTGCGGACTGAAGGGTCCCAGGTTCGATTCTGGTCAGGGGCATGTACCTTGGTTGCGGGCACATCTCCAGTAGGGAGTGTGCAAAAGGCCGCTGATTGATGTTTCTCTCATCGATGTTTCTAACTCTCTATTCCTCTCCCTTCCTCTCTGTAAAAAATCAATAAAATATATCTTTAAAAATAAAAAAATCCCCAAGTCCAGAGAGTTGAAAGACACAGGAGAGACCCGAGTTCTATTCAAATCTAGAAATTTATCCAACTTGAGTCCATGAACGTCCTCACTCAGTGGCATACTTCCAAAGGCTCAGTGGTCTGGGCCAAAGAAGCACATGGTGGCCACCTCTCTTTAGCAACTACTAGTCCGGATCTGCTGGTCTGACCACATAGATGTCCAGTACCTGTTTCTAGGTCACATGGCCAAACCTAAACCCAGGCTTTCTAACCCTCCTCCTCCTCTAGCATTCTCTGGCTTAGTGAAAGGGAAGGTACCACTTTCCATTCAAGCCCTCCATCCAACTCATGGGCAAGACCCATTGGTTCTAGCTCTAAAACTCTGGGATGTCTACTTCCTACAGCCTGTTACAGTCCTGACCACCATCCTCTCGCTCCTGGACTCCTTCAACCGTCCTCTGAACGAGCAACCAGCCTGTAGGTCTTTCCTCCAGCTATGGCTTCTTCACACAGCACTCAAGGTCTTTCTAAAATGCAAATATGATTACACCTCTCCCTTGCTTAAAAACCTTCAATTACTCTTTATTATCTTTAGGACAACATACAAGTTTAATATGGGGGGGTGGAGGGTGTGAATCCCTTTATTTTCTAATCTTCTAGGTCTTATCTCTTATAATTCTCTCTCTCACATGCTTTGATCCAGCTCTACTGAAATTCTTACACTTTCTCAAAAGCACCAATCCCTCTCACCTCTTGACCTTTGTACCTGTCATTTCCTCTTCCTATCCCTTCCAATCCCACCCATCCTTGGCCAGGTAAGTCCTACTTATTTCTCAGATCATGGGGTAAATGTCAGTTCTCCTCTGGGAGAGGGGGTAAGTCTTCTCTTGCTCCGCAAAGTCCTTTGTGTTCCTTCAGCACCCACTTTATCACAAATATTGCAAAAGCCTGTTTAATGGTCTGTCTGCCCCTTGATAGCAGGATTCATGCCTACGTTCTTCATTTTTATATTCCCCAGGACCTGATCCAGGATGTAGCAAGCACCCAGTACCTAAATGAATAAATGACTGGGTGGGTGGGTGTACTCAGAACTTGGGCTTTCAGAAAAAAAAGTGAAGAACAAGTCTCTGCTTCCAAAAGTTTACAGAGAAAGACAACCTAGATCATCTCCATTCTTTACCCACAAAAATACCCACAAGAGCTAGGTGACACTGACTGTGTCTAATGCCAAATCCAGGCCACTAAGTCAGGATAGGACCAATCACTTGCCACTAGCTGCGATTCCTAGCTGATGGCCTGTCTCTGATTCTCTCTTGGTTCAGGTTCACTCTACCCTGTCCTACCTCCCCTTCTCCCCCTCCCCCCCCCCCCCCCCCCCCGCCTCCCACTGACTCAGCTCATACCAACATCTGCTTCTGGCTCTACTTCATAGAACATCCCACAGAAGGACCCAAAGCAGAAAAGAACAACCAAAACACATAGGAATGGGACTGAGCTGAGAGATGATGGTTGGCAACAGAGAAGAGCTCAGAGTGAACTGAGGATCTGGGCTCAGCGCTGGCACCTTTGCAGGAACCTACCCCACCAGAGGCGCAGCGAGTGAGGTTTGAACCTGCATACCCAGCAGATGTTTCTAACTGCTAAATGTTCCTGCCAAAACCACTTCTGCCTACTCAGCAGCTGCTCTCAGGAGTAGGGGCTGGAAAGAGGTTCATACTCTTCCTCCTTGGTTTGATGGTAACAACAGAAGGGCAGCAACACACATGTATCGAACTTAGGAGAATTCTACCACCAGCCCTTGCAAAACATGTAAGTAGAGAGAAACAGAATATCCTCTGACAGTGTGAGCAAGATTCTAGTGCTGAGAGATGTATTTGGATTGTCCATACAGCTGGCTCCTAAATTCCAGCCTTATTTCAGGTAGTGCTTAAAGAAATAGTGTTGCCAAAACAGGTTTGGCTCAGTGGATAGAGCGTTCATTTGCGAACTGAAGGGTCCCAGGTTCGATTCTGGTTATGGGCATGTACACTGGTTGCGGGCACATCCCCAGTGAGTTGATGTTTCTCTCTCATCGATGTTTCTAGCTCTCTATCACTCTCCCTTCCTCTCTGTAAAAAATCAATAAAATATATTTTTTAAAAAATAAAAGAAATAATGTTTATACCTTTTATGTTCTTTTTTTATTCCTTCAGTCTTCTGCTTTACATTTATATATTAAAGATTAAAATAATTTCTACCTACACCCCCTTTTACATTCTGTACATTACTCTTTGTGACACATTTATACAAACATATTACCATAAAGTGGGCGTAGTGTATATGCAGAATTACACAGCTCTTATGTTATGGTAATTTATGGATTTTCAAAGCTACTGATTACACATGGTTTTTGCCAATATGCTGATCTGATACCCACAAACAATGAAGCGCCACATGGGCACCATCTTCCAAGTTCCTCACCTGGCATCTGCGCCAAGCCAGGAATATATCCATATAGCTTTGTCCAACATCCCGCAAACACTCTGAGAACACTATGGCTGAGTGGACAATGACAGGCAACCTCGATATGCTTCCCTCATCGGAATCATTACCAGCAGCAGCCAGGGCAGAATGGAGATGGGAGATGTGGGGCATCGAGGTCTATCCAAGGGGGGCAGCCAGATATGCTCCTGGCTTTTGGTTTTCTTTTCTTTTCAAGTCAGTTTTGAACCACACTGGCTAGAAACAAGAGATGACAAGGCCAGCCAGCTACCGCCCTGAGCACTCTTCAAGCCCTGGGCTCAGACGAGTGACAGGTGGGGACATAATTCACTCCACACTACTACGGAAGGACCTGTGTGGGTTCCGTCTGCAGATTTTCAGGCCGACCTTAATGCCACCCTGAGGTGAGGGCTCTGGGACCTTAGATCACTATGGAAGTTTCCACGGACTCTCAACATCCCAGGCTTACATGTCCTTCCGCAGCCCTGACCAGCTTGAGGAATCAAACTTCCAGAGAACACACAAATAATCTTTCCAATAGTCTCATTCCTTCATCATTTCAAGCAAAAATCAGAGTCCCCATTTTCCAGGTGAGGAAACCGTGCAATCTCCTGTGGAAGCAAAACAAGACCAGGGTTCTCTGGACTTCCTGTCTCCCAAAACATTATTTCTGGAACTTTCTGGTTGCCTTTTAATTACTCATCATCAGGATTTCTTAGCCTTCATAAATTTCACTCAGTTCTCACTCTCCACCCCCATGCCTAAATCGTACCCACATCCTCCCCCTTTTTCCTTTCCAACTCCATTTCCCGGTCTCTTATCCAAGGTCTAAAGATCTTGAATCGCTGAGAACCCAGCTTCCAGAGTGGCACTTAGGTGAAGCATCTCCTCTTTTTTTTTTTTTTTTTTTTTTTTTTTTTAAATGTCCTTTCCAGCCCTAATTGGTTTGGCTCAGTGGATAGAGCATCTGCCTGCGGACTCAAGGGTCCCAGGTTCGATTCCGGTCAAGGGCATGTATCTTGGTTGCGGACACATCCCCAGTAGGAGGTGTGCAGGAGGCAACTGATTGATGTTTCTAACTGTCTATCCCTTCCCCTTCCTCTCTGAAATAAATCAATTATATATATTTTAAATGTCCTTCCCTGTATAAGAGATCAACCGAAGGACTTGTATTCATGCATATAAGTACAACCAATGGACACAAAACTCTGGGGAGGGAGGGAATGTATGTGTGTGTGTGTGTGTGGGGGGGGTAATGGTATATGTACACAGATAATAATTTAATAAAAATTAAAAAAAAATAAATGTCCTTTCCTGTGGCTCACAGCCCCTTCCTGACCATCCTTTGCTCACCCACCCTGCTCAGGCGCTTTATGGCCGGCTCCTTCCTCATCACCGAGGATCGGTCCCATCCTGCATTCGGTCTGCCCCAAAGTTTCAGACTTTGTTCCTCCAACTCTCTCGGGTGCAGGTCCCGCCCTTTGCAAAACTCAGGCCTGAGCCTTTCCTTTCCCGGAGCCCCGGCATCCCAGCGCCGCATCCCCCGCCGCGGCTCCCGCGCTTACCGGACCACAGCACGAGCTTGCCGTGCGCCTCCTCCTGGGACTCCGAGTCGCCGGCCAGCAGCGTGGAGGTGGCGGCGTAGGGCAGCGCCGAGCCCAGGCACACGTTGTAGCGCAGCGGCTCGCAGGGGGCGGCCCGGCCGCAGTGGCTCAGCGGCGGCGGAGCCCCCGTCCCCGCCGCGCTCCTCCGGGCGCCCCCGCCCGCGCCCCGAGGCCCGGGCCCGGTCGCGTTCCCGCTCAAGGCCATCCCCCGGCCCGGGCCCCCCGGCAGCAGCAGCAGCCACAGCAGCCACAGCAGCGGCCCCCAAAGCCAGAACTCCGACCCCCGTGCGAGGCGAGCAGCGGCCATGACCCAACCCGCCAACTCAGCGGGAGCCCCGCGCCCCCGCCCGCTCCCCGGGAGCCCCCGGGGACCGCGCGCCACCCACGGGGCTGCGGGGGCGACTCAGGCGACCTGTGCGCCCCGCGAGCCCGGGGTCGGGCCCCCCCGGGTGCTCCGCGCGCCGCGGGCCCTCGGCGCCCAACTTCGCAAACTTTGGAACCGGGGGCCCATGCTGGGCGGCGGAGGCCCGGGCTGGGATGCACCGCTCCCTCGCCCTTTCCCTGGCGACCCAAGAGGTCTTCAGCCCCGGGAGCCCCCAGGACCCCCAGGGCCCCCAGCCTCCAGCCCCATCCCCTCTCCCACCATCAAAAACCACCTCCGGGCGCCGCGATGGAGCCCAGGCGCGGGCCGGGGGGTGAGGGACCGGGTCCTCGGCGCCGCCCCTGCACCGGCCGGGGGCCCCGCAGCCACCTCGGCCGAAGCGCGCCGCAGCCCCCCGACTCCTCCCCGCCGACCGCCCGGCTCCTTTGTTGCCGCTCTAGCTCGCTAGGCTTTCTGGAATGCACGGGCCTCCCCGAGCCAAGCCCGGCCCCCGCTCCGCCGCGGCTGGGGGAGGGACTGGCGGAGAGAGAGGGAAGAGGAGGGGAGAAGGGAGAGGAGGAGCACCAGCTTCAGGGACCCGGGGCGCCGCTGGGCCCGGGCTGGGGGCTCTGACCCGGCCTGTCGCCCGCAGCTGGAGAGAGGTGGGAATCGGGTCCGGAGCCGCACCGAAACTCAGCGGGCGCCTGGATTAACCCGAGGATCGTTCCACTAGCTCTCCTGCAGCGCAGGGACTCTTCTGGTTTGCAGAAAGTAACTCTTCTGGTTTATGGAGAAACAGGGGATGCCTGGAGTTAGCGGAAACCTCCACCTTACTCACTCCCCATCTCCAACTTGCCAGTCTTTTCTGCTTTGGGTTCGATCTTTCAGCTTGTCCCGTAGCCCCATGGAGAAAAACCAGGATTTGGGGTTCTCGCTTGTCCAAATCCTTCCAGCTCGCGACCTGTGTGAGAAAGGACCTCAGAGTCCCTCGGGCAGCTGCCCCGCTGCTGTTAACTGTGGATGCAGGAGCGTGGAAACCAAAAGTGCCAACGTCAAGCCTTCATTGCTACAAGTGTGTGAAACCTGAATTGTGGTTCCCAACGACTAGCCCTGGCGTGTCTTTGTTTAGGTCCAAAGGAAGCCAGTCCATCTCCGATGGCCCCTGCTGCTCACAGGCTGGCAGAGGACGCTTCTTCCGCTGCTGTCCTTCCTCACTCTGCTCATTTTGCTTTTCCAGCTCCTTTGCCTCTGCAAGTCACTGCACTTGATTTCAATTTACACCTAGAGCCAGGGGTCCAGCCAGGAAGAGTGGACTTGCATTGAGCAACTTTTCTGAGTTGCTGATGGGGCAACATATTAGTTTGGGTGGCTTTTCCTGTCTTACTCCCTACCCTGGTCTTCAGCCTAGCTGAAATGGACTAGTTCTGTTAGGTCTGGCCATCTCTGAGCAAATTAGCAATTGCACTGCAGCTATCATTCTCAATTGAGAGAGAGAAAGAGAGAGACTGACTTTAATTCAATTCAAGGTCTGAAATCCAAGGATGTACATAGCACTGTGATAAGCATGACTTCCTCACAGAACTTGTGCATGTGACTGTGGTGACAAGCTTGCCCTCAAGAAATGGTAATATGGCCGAAACCAGTTTGGCTCAGTGGATAGAGCATTGGTCTGTAGACTGAGAGGTCCCAGGTTTGATTCCGGTCAGGGGCATGTACATTGGTTGCAGGCACATCCCCAGTGCGGGGTGTGCCAAGAGGCAGCTGGTCCATGTTCCTCTCTCATTGATGTTTCTAGCTCTCTATCCCTCTTCCTTCTTCTCTGTAAAATATCAATAAAATATATTTTAAAAAAAGAAAAGAAATGGTAATATGACATCACATCAAAGTCTCCTGCTCCAGGGCAGGGACCTTATTCTATTCTCTGTAACCACAAAGCATCCAGTGCAGTAGGACATGCATATTAATCACTCAACAATAAGCTGCCTACGTGAAGTGCACAGTGAAGTGAGTATGCTGTAGGAATGTGTAGCAGGGAGAGTGGGTAGAAGTCGAGGAGGTGGGATTTGAATCCAGCTCTGAAATGTGAGTAGGAGGAGTTAGAAAAGTGTAGGCGAGTGGAGCTGGCATTATAAGCGGAGGAAACTATGACTACGACTCAGAGCATGACTGGCCTGGCAATCAGGACATAGTAAGAGATAAACAGAGAAACTGATTGGCAAGGAAACTTGAATAATATACAGAGGAATTAAGGTTTAATTATGTTGGCAATAACAAAACAGTGCAAGGCCAGCTGGTGTGGCTCAGAGGTAGAGTGTCCACTTGTGAACTGGGAAACCAAGTTTGGATTCCAGGTCAGGGCAATGCTCCATCCCCAGTAGGGGGCATGCAGAAGGCAGCCAATCAATGATTCTCATCATTGATGTTTCTATCTCTCCCTCTCCCTTCCTTTCTCTGAAAAATCAATAAAAAATATTTTAAATATTAAAAGAAAGCTTCCAAATTTTTATCAGACTGGTATGTTTAAGGACATTCGTCAGGTGATGTGAGGATGGGATGAAGGCGAAAGGGTGGGCCATTTTGAAGGAAGTTGCTGGTGATTTTTGGAATAGACTCTGTCATCGGGGCATAATATTCCCACTGGAAAAATAATTTGAAACATTATGACCTACTTCCATTAATTTTTCCTGTGATGTAAATGAAATGACTTTTATAACTTGTCCAAGGTCTGAGCCACAGAGAAAGTCATCTCATATCACACTGATGTTTTGCTTTGTGAACTTTCTCCATTTATTTTTCAATCTGGTTGTTACTGTGGCAGCTTTAAAGCCCTGTGAAATTTTCTCAGGATTCTGTATATTAGGGAGGAACCTACATAAGTGCTTACCTCTCTGCCTAAAAATTCTTCAAGTATGAAGGCTCTACCATTCCTTGTCTGGGATTTCTTGGGAGATATGAGGAATAACCACATAATTGTAATATAGTATCTTTACGCTGGAAATAAAAAAGATAGTGAAGTGAGAAGATTCTAAGATGGTATCTTATGGCCAAAATGTTCTTTACTTCAAAAGGAAGAAGGTATTCTAAATGCTTTTCTCTCTCTCTCTCTCTCTCTCTCTCTCTCTCTCTCTCTCTCTCTCTCTCTCTCTCTCTGTGTGTGTGTGTGTGTGTGTGTGTGTGTACATACACTTCTGTACTCTAGGCTTCTTGCTGGCCTAGGCAAAGGCCAGCAGGAAGGCAGACTGAGAACATTCTCATAGTACTGTCTATAGCTACTGGGCCAGGTTCCCATCAATGGCAGCTGCAATAGCCATGGCTGCACATTTGAAATGTCTGTTTTCCCAGGAATAGAAGGAAGCAGTTTTAGTTTTGGGAAGGAAGGAAAATGTTCAACAGGAACCAGGCCAGAGAGAATTTCTTGTTGGTTCCTGAATGACACTCAGAGTCCTGGAGAAAGCTGATCCCCCCCTGCAGGCATAACAAGATTGTCAGTGTATTTTAGAGACTCTTCAAAGTGATTTGATGCACTCCTAGTCTTCAAAATCATGGAAGGCTGCAAAGGACCTCTCTCCTGATCCCGAGCCACCTCCCTACCCAGTTCCTCAAGAGTCTTAGCACATGTCATAACACGGTCCTTTTGTCAGGGCCAGGAGAAGCTGTCCTGTATTGACAAGGTATTACAGTATTTGATTTGCTACAAGTAGCTTCTTGATTTCTGAGTCATTCTCATAAAATATGTTGGCATTTTGAAGTCACACATTCAATGTTGAGTCTGTGAATTGCCTCTGGAACTTCCACTCAAAAAGAATGAACATGAAACTATTTGTGGGATATCCATGTGTATCCTTGAGGCCTTATGGTTCAGTTGTCACACTGGTTAGAATTTGGAGCATAATTGTTGCCAGTTATTTCTTGTTCTTTTTTTAAAAATATATTTTATTGATTTTTTACAGAGAGGGAGAGAGAGGGATAGAGAATTAGAAACATCAATCAGCTGCCTCTTGCACACCCCCTACTGGGGATGTGCCCGCAACTAAGGTACATGCCCCTGACCGGAATCGAACCTGGGACCTTTCAGTCTGCAAGCCAATGCTCTATCCACTAAGCCAAACCGGTTTTGGCAGTTTTTTCTTTTTCTGATGTTTCTTATTTTGCAACTAAGAGCATCAAGTCAGAAGGAATAGGCAAAATGGGAAAGGGACTGGATAAGCTACCTCTCCAGAGGGGCAGCACAATAGATTTGGAGTTAGATATAAGTTGGGCCTTACTAGTCAAGACCCGTTGAGCAACTTATTCTAAGTCCCTATTTCTTCTTCCTTTACAAAAATTAGATGTTATCAATTGTGTTCCTGTATACCAGCAATGAGCAATCTGAAAAGGTAATTAAGGTGGAAATTCTATTTATAAGGCATACAAGAGAATTAAATCCTTAGGGGAAAAATCTAATCAAGGAAATGAAAACTCATACACCTAAAACTGCATAACATTGCTGAAGGAAAATTTAAAATACCTAAATAAATCGAGAGGCATTCTGTGTTCTGGATGGAAAACTAGACATTGTTAAGACGTCAATACTACCCAAACTGACCTGTAGAGCCACCTCAATTTCTATTAAAATTCCAACAGCCTTTTTCACAGAAATGGAAAAGTTGATCTCAAACACACATAGAACTGCAAGGGACCCTGAATAGCCAAAACAATCTTTTATAAAAAAAATATATGTTTTTATTGATTTTTAGAAGGAGAGGAAGGGAGGAGGATAGATAGAAACATTGAAAAGAAAGAAACATCATTGGTTGGCTTCTTCCTGCACAACCCCTACAGGATCAAACCTGCAAACGGGGCATATGCCCTGGCAGGGAATCAAACCAGTGACTTCTTGGTTCATGAGTTGACACTCAACTACCAAGCCACATGGGCCAGGGCATAGCCAAAACAATCTTGAAAAA